GCTACTCTATTTCCCCAATGTGTTCAACAAAATCCTTAACGTCTAGCATGGTATGTTAATAAAGAATAAAGTTGTTCTTTAAAAAATCTGCTTTAAGTAGATTTTTCCCCCAAGTTTTCTTAGTTAAGGATTCCAAATATGGTATTCACAAATTCTTGCATTTAAATTTTAACTGCAGTGGTCTAGATGAATACCATCATTGGTATCCTTAAGTTTTATTTCTGCTCATGAAGGTTAATCATGATTGTCTATATAGTAATCACTTATGAATTGTGTTCAGATACAGCAGTTTCAGGTGTAATCATCAGAGCTGGTTAGTCAGGCATTCCAGATAGTGGTTCTTTTCAGAACCTTTTTTAAAGGGTTGGTTAACTACCTCAGTAGCAGAGGATTGAACTATACCCTGTCTGTACTGTACATAGAAAATCTTTGTAGATAAAAGCAAGGCTTGTTTAATATGATATGAGGGTAAGATTATAATATACCAAATGTAACATTCTTAGTTGCCTTTAGTTCCAGAGGCTTTGTAAGACTTCCTCATGACCATCATAACAGGCCTTGCTTTTGTCGTATTTTGTGGCTGAAAAAGCAGCCTTGCTTCTTCAGATATTGTAGTTATTTGGATGTATAATAGTTTAGCAAGATGTTACTTTTGTAAGACATCAGATGTTCAAAAAAAGTGCATCAGCAACTTGTACTAAATACTGCAGTGTCCCTTTATAAAAGGTCAGACTAAAACTGACAACTGTACAGTGAAGCCTGACATTTGGATATTTTGAAGTTTTTCATAAATCATAGAATAGTATATGGCTGTAGTTTAGCTTTTTAGGTAAAAGGTATGTTTTCATTAGTGCATTTCTTACTGCTGATCACTGTAAAAACATGTGGATCAGCTTTCCATTTCTCTTACGCAGATCATGATAACCTGTAGAGTAGAGTACAATCATTTGTGCTATGTTTTTAATTTTCTAAAGCACCTTGATGACAGTGAGTGTTTAGTGGTGAAGCATCCTCTATTGAACTACCCTTAAAAAAGACAAAACAAAAACAGAAGAACCTTGCCAAGTCCAACTTCATATAGGTAAGATAGATAAAATTATGACTTACTTTGGACTTGGCATAAAGAGCTTCCCTTAACCCCCTGCCCAAAGGGATACTGCAGTTATACTACATACCCATAGGCACCACAATGAAAATTGAAGCTTATACCTAACTAAGGTTTTATACACACCAGTTCCCCCAGTAAATGCAAATTTTAACAAAATTAGACATGTCATATGTTGAAAATGCTCATGGCAAACAATCATTTTGCATTCCTGCAAATAAAATTGTTTTATACTGTAAGCTGGAGGCGAGTGTAACTTATTTTTGTAATAAAGTTTTTATTTTTTTTATGTGTCATTAATATAAATGTGTGTTAGTACAGAGATCTTCTGGTTAAAAACTTAGAATCGCACACATTTCAGTATGTTTACTTGTATTTACATAATTTTTAGAATAGTGGTTGCCAATAGCCTGTATGTTTCACTTTTTTTTTTGTTATCTTAATAAACCATTTTAGTATGTTGTATGTCAATTACTGGGATAGCTGGGACATGAAGTGTAATTTAAAATTGTCAAGTATTCATTGGAATATGTAAATGTGCCTTGCCAGTTCTGAACTTTAAGAAAAAGTAAGTGAATGATGGTGAAACAAGTAGTCAATGCATGAGACATTTGCTACCATAGTTTCATATACGGCCCTTGCTAAAGAAAAGTAACTCTCCTCAAATTTGAGCATAAAAGTATACAGTTGCGTTAGCTTCTGAAATTTCAAATCTAGTGATAGAATATTAGGCTTATGGAAAGTGGGTTTGCTAATTGTAGCCTTAAGTATAATTTTGAATTTTAATGTAATCCTTGGTGCTGGCATTCCCAGTGCCAAGGAGTTTAAATGCTCCCTTCAAAGAGGTTGCCATGCCTACTGGCACTTTTACTGTCATATGGTTTTATAAGGAACGCTGTCAAGATGTGGAAACCAATTTTGAACTTGCTATAAAATGAAAACACTGGGGGCTGTAGCAGAAGGGAGGTCCTCAGATTTCTTAATCTTGAAATCTCTCCATTGCTGGAAAACTTAAAACACTTGTGGGATCACAAGTGCTAGTGACTAGTTCTTAGTCTGGAAATGTGTCTGGGGCTATAATAAATTTATGGAATTATAAGAGTTGATGGAATTGCATAAAACCATTGCTATTAAGGCACTACACGTGTTGAAATTGTGGATCGTATCCTTAATTTCAGCTCTGACAAAAACATGGGGGACTATTGTTAAAAAAAAAAAGCAAAATTGACAGGAAAGTGTTTGTTGTTAATGGAATGCAAGCAATGGTGAGTGAGCAAAATACCAAGATCTTGACAGTGTTCCCTCTAATTATGAACTCAAGCCATTATAACTTTTAAAATTAAATATGATTTGCACTGTTCTGATATTGGTGCAGTTTTTTAGCAAAATGATCAGTAAACTAAATTGCATGTGATGATTAATATGTGGGGGGAAAAAAACTAAAATCAAAAAATGTTATTTTCAAAACTTTGTGTAAAGAAAAACCATTATTAAGTGGAAATACTGGTGAGAATGGGCAACTGCATATATACAGCTTCAGTTTGGTTGCACTTGGGTGTTGGTAAACTTGAAATGTTCTACAGCAATAATGCATCTCTTATGGGGTACTTTGGTGACAAAAGGACATACACCGTTCTTTTTGGCATGTTGAAGCTAAGTGTTGATTTAATGTGTTCTGCTGCCTCTGTTTATTCTCATAGGAGGCTTTCTTTACTGAAACACCTGCAAAGGTTTGAGTATATAAGCTAGCATAGTTCCACATTGGTTTGTAAAGTGTTCCTAAATTTGAAGTCTAGTTTAATTTTAACAAGAAATCAAACTGCTGCTGCTTAACACTTCTCGTTTATAAACACTCCAATACACAGCTTTTTAAATTATACTCTTGTTTTAATATTCTTTTTTGTTTGAAGGGTTTCATAGAGGACATACAGCTGTACTTCTCTTTAGTGTTTAAAGAGGAGACAGGAGATTTGTTAGAACTTAAGTTTGTGTTTTTAGTGTTGGAGGAAGGCTGTTATTACAGATACTAAGACAAGTTTCTGAATTTCTGCGTTGTACAACTCTTACCTAAAGACTGTCTTAAAACAGAATTAGTATTCCTTATTTTAGATTTTTGGTGGTGGTGAGGGGCATGGCAGTCTAAAATAAACTTAGCCTCCTCTGAAGGTAGGATTCCCAACTTAGTATTTCAGGCTGAAATGTTATCTATGGCTGCAACTTTTTTTCCCTTGTGCCTTTGATAATTCTTCAGAGGCTTAACTTCCCTGTTCAGCATAGCAGTTGTTCAAAGCTTCCATACGGACTTTTTTTTTAAAGGAATAAAACTGAAAGGCAGCATGAACATAAACACATGTAACATTTTCTGAAAAGTGTTCAAATTGATATTATTCCAGAAAATTAGAACTGTTATTCTCTCACTTGCTTTAGTGAAAACTTAATGGAAAGTGTAAATTGTTTAAAATTGAATAGCAAGTTTTGGAAGTAGGCAATAAGGCAATAAACTTTACAACGTAGTGTTCTGAGAATTGAAATTGGTAAAGTTTGGAGCTTGAGTTTGTGTTCATAGCCTGATGTTTGTGAATCCGAAATTTATGACTGACTTTGCTGGATTTAAAAATCTGTCTTTGCCAAGTGTCTTGCTGAATTAACTCCAGCACCAGCACATGACATCTCTTGGCTGGGGCTAGCTAGTTGCATTAGCTGGGCAGAGGAAATGCCACATTGTGCTTTGTCATTTGCTCTGTCAGATAAAAATGGTGTGTGGCAACAGGAGAGGAAGTCAGGTTTAAGATTCTTTGATTCTTAATATGGGTAGTGGGGGGAGAAGGAAAAAATTATTTTACAGCCATCTAGTGCAAACAAACAAAGCTTCTGAGAAGCTCTGATGTTAAACTTTTTTCTGGGAGACCGTTTTTCACCTAGTTATCTGGTCAACACTTTGCAAGTGTTTAATTATACTTGAATTATAAAATCCACAGGATGAAAGAGTGACTTTTTCTTTGGTGCTCCTTTGCCTTGACTGTTAAAATAGATTTGTTGAAAAGTGCCACTAGGATTAGCTTGTTAGTTTACTTGGAATTTGGAGAGAGGGGTAATTGTCTCATGTAATGATACCTTTTTCTTGACAATATATAACTGGTTACTAGTTTTTTCCACAAACATAAATATTTTTTAAATGACCAGCTCCTGAGTGGATGTTGCACAGCTGAGCTCGTCTGGAAACACTGGGTTACGTTGATTGTTTAAAGCTATCTTCATGTAAGCTTCTTTAGATGGTTAGACTTGCAGGTACCTGGTAAAAGCTTTTTTTAAAAAAAAAAATCTGTCACAGTCTAGAATTCTAAATACAGTCATAGTATGTAGGTAAAAGGTAATTAAATAAGGCTTGAATATTTAAAGTTTGAATCACAAGATACATTTCAGTTCCAAGAGTTGTTTCATTCCTGAATGTTAATGAAACTTAAGTGTCTACTCCAAAGCCAATAATTTCTGATGGTCATTTAGGTAAAATTTGCAGTGTCAGAAATTTGGATTCCCTCTAGTCTGTGAATGATACATTTGGTTGATTAATGGCAACAGTTCACTACCTCTTTGTGCAGTTAGTGTGGCAATACAGTTTTACTTGTTTTGGTCACTAACATGTAGAAAAGACATTGAATCTTACCAGTTATTTTCTTTGCACTAAGGAAGTTATGAAATGCATTCTCAGTTCTGCTACACAGCCAGTAGAATAGCCTATGCCATTTGACTGCACAGAAGATAATGGTAAGTACAAATAGACATTCTAGTACTTCAATGACTAGCAGTATCTAAAATCCAACTTTGGCAGACTGTTTTAATTGACTCCTTATCTGCAGTTAGGTTGGCGGTTTTAACTCCTCAATTTTAGAGTATCTGCTTCAATGCTAAGCAGATGTTGAGTGTAATCTGATACTGTTTCAGATCTAAAAATCTTCAAAATGCTTGATAGATAATTCAGTATATATTTTTAAACTGATGGGTTAGCAATCATAGTAGTTTAAGCTGTTTTCAGTGAACACAGCCAGTCATTGAAAGCCCCAAACTGAATATATCAGGTGCCGAGCTCCTGGTTCCAAGTGTAGCATTTTCAGTATTCTGCTCTAAAGTAACATTTCTCTGATTTTTTTTTTTTCTCTCTTCAGTGAGACAAAGAAGGCAACCAACTCTGACGCTAGTAGTGGTTATTTAAAAACTGCATTACTAAACGTGGCTGATTTGGGATTAAAAAACTTCCTCTGAGAATTCACCAAAGGCAATTTATAGATATCCCAGTAGTAAATTAGGGCTTTTCTTAAGGTGCTATTTCAGCATATTTAAGAATGAAGCTCTGTATTGCAAAACACTGGTGAGAGCTAGCATAAAAAAAAAATCAGTTAATATTTTCATCATGCAGATGTATCACAGTTGAAAGGTGATTTTAATCTTTAATATTACAGCACTTGAGATGATGGATAAAAATACCTAGTCCCTCCATGTGGAAAAGCTGAAGTGGCTATTAAAAGACTGTTCTTCTTTCAGATTGTGGTCAAAGGCTTCTTTGGATAGTGCAATGAAACCTTTTTTCTTCCAGTGCAAACAGTTGTTCTAACAAGCTAACCTGTTTCCGGTCCACAGTTCTCAACAGGATTTTTGAGCTTTGTATGCATGCTTAAATTGATGTTTTTAGCAGAAGACAAACCTCCAGTGACAATCACTGGTATGTATGCGAGTAGTACTTTTGCCAAGAAGTGACCAATATGTGACTTCAACTTTAAAGTAGCCTAGTGAAATTGTCCTTTATTCATATTGCCCACACTTGCAAAGAAGAATGTTAGTTTACACTTGCTTTTGAATTAGTGGGATGCTTAAAAGCTACTTTGAAGAAAAACACTGTATGTACGTTGTTAAAATCTGTCAGAATTTGCAAATTAATAGGCTGCAGGTTTCATGCTAAGGGAAGACTAAACTTGAAGATAAAAGGGGAAAAAATGTCGTAACTTCTCTCACTCTAAGTCCTGAAGGTACCACAAGTTCTAGGTGGCTTTAAACTTCAGCAGTGAGTGCAGTGGAAGCTGGATTCATGTAGTTGAGTAATCTTTGCTGCCTTGCTCCGCTATGTTTTCATAATGGTAACACAACCTCTCAATTTATTTTTTTTAATCCCATTCTGGGATTAACTCCAGTGAGATTGATCTTCCAGTTAAAATTAAGAAGGATCTGGAAGGTTTTAAATCTGTTAGGTTTAAAATAATTTCCTTTTTTGTGTATGTGTTGTTTGCAACTTGGTTTTACAATGGAAATGGTGTAATAAATGGCACTGTGTATTTTTTTTTAATGGTATACTAATCTGAAAAACACAGTTTGGTTTGTTGATATTCTGAGCCTCTGACCTGAGGTTGCATGTTCCTATATCCAAGGAAACAGTATTTGTATGGTATGAACTGATGAGTAAGTCTCAGACCCAGTAGTTGGTTCTTTGGGGTAGTTAGTCTTTTCTTAGGGGTTAACTGTTGAAA